TATTATATTATATGATATTATATATTCTGTTATGTTGTACTATATGTTATATTGCATTATCGTAAATTATACTAGATACAGTGTAGATCCCTTCACACTGCCTGTGAGGAGATGATGGCAACGGAAGACGGCAGCCAAGGCGGGAGATGAAGGATGCGACTTTCTGAGAGCGCTGGGGCCAAAGGCCAGTCCTTAGCTAACAGCACTACACTTCCGACTAGGAGCAATCAGAGCCGAGTGATCCTGCTGTTCAGGAAGTGATCGTGAATGATCGTGAAGTTCTGAAGCCTGATGCCGAGCCAACTTTTGGGGAGACTTGGGCCTGAGTACGCAATGTCGTGATATGAATCATGACACGGAGTACCTACTGACGTAACGTCTATAGAATGGGGGCTCTGGAGCTTCCCCCCAGTAGTTTGACGCCCAGGGGCGTCTGTCCAGTTGCTAAGCAACTTTGTTAATGCCCTTCAGAGCAGCTGGCAACGGCCGAATGTCAGACGACAGCTCGGGGTGTTTGCCAGCTTCTCATCTTGAGGCCACGGATCAGCAAAGATGATGCCGCCAAAGAAGGGCCTCTAGTTTGGACGAGGGTTCAAGCGTCAGAGCTAGATTGAATCGACCAATTCACTTGAAGCCATCGTGCAGAATGTGGGCCCTTTTTTGGCTCGCCGAGCGCCCCCAAATTGAGCATGGCTCCTCACTGGTTCTGCCAGGGAGGGCTGGTGTTCCCTCGGCTGAGGGAGCTCCAGACGTAAACGCAAACGTTGAAGGTGCAGCTGAATCAGCTGCAGCCAGGGTTCCCTGCTGTGCAGACTTACAAAAGTGGCCTCCGTGATCGATCTGCCACCGCTGGCCGCTGCTGAATACTCTTAGTGCCAGGCTCCACCTGGCCGTGCCGAGACTCTGAGACGCGGTGGCCCAACACGATTTCCATGTTTGGTTTTCTGAGCGCGATTCGTCGCCGTCATGCCGTCACGACTTTATGCAGCCCTTTTGCTCCTGGACATGGAGTGTACGCACATGTCATGCATAGGCACGGAAAGCATTCGGGGCGAAAGCCGGGTGTCTAAGCGGTGTCTAAAGCACTGTTCAGAGCTCATTCGAGTTGGGCATGATTGGGCGTGATACGTGTTGTGGATCACATGAGCGCTAGAAAGCACAGTTCAGCCGAGCAGGTCAATCCGTTCTGTGGACCCAAGCACGCTTGCAAAGTGAGAAGATCTTCTGCTGTGCTTCAGCGTAAGATGGCTCCGCCCGGCACGGCGGCCAAGTCGTCCGCAATCCATAGAACCAGAGGATGTTGCGCCCTCCCGGCTCTCCTCAGCAGTTGAGGTGCGGCGCATCCGAATCTCACCGTGGGCGGTCTGCTGGCTGCAGGAGGCCTGTGTTCATCAGTGCTTCTTGCAGGGCCAATCTTTCTTTTCGCGGCCGTGATGTGAACGCTGTTGTCCTGATTCTGCAGCGTGTTTGACCGCTTGAACATGGAGCCTGATCACCTACGTCGAAATTACAGCAAGTCTGGTGGCCTTGTCTATGTGAGCCTTGCAAGCCGATTGCAAGCAAGCTATGGGATTGTAGCGTTCGGCCCGACGTTACGGCAGCAATCCTACAGTAGAACAGCTGCGTTGAGACACACTATTCGGGTCATCGCAGTTTTCTATTGCAATTTGCTTGCCTGGCGGAATGATGCCATGGTTACTCGACTGTCTTGGGCGCTCAGTGACGACCTGAGATGCCTGGGGCGTGTGAAGCCGCACCCACAGCACCGTATCATGAGGCCTGCTCCTCACCTTGGCGAAGGAGGAGGCTTTTCCTACGGTACTGCGTGCCTTTTATGGAGCACACACCTTCACCTTCGCGCGATCCTTTCACGCAGGCTTCCCCATCCGCTGATTCACAGATCAGTGGTGCCGGCTGCCCGCCAGAGTCCCAGGCTGAAACATCGCATTGCTTTCTCAGGCGCTTCATTGTGATTGTGGTGCATGTGGTGCCCTTGCGAGGTACTTCCACCAGACCGCGTGTGCAGCCGAGCCGTTCAAGACCTTCCTGCAGGAAGGTCTTTCTGGAAACCAGGTAGTCTCGGTGGAGTGGCTTTCACAGAACTTTTCGAATCTGTGTTGGTAGCAGGATGTTGCAGGCTAGGTGGAGTCAGAGCCGTGCAGACTGCAGGCCATGCTTGCGACATGCTAACTTGGGGGAAGGCTAGGTGGAATTCAGAATCTCAGGCTTGGCAAATGCTTGAAAGCTTGACCAGGAGTGGCAGGAGAAGGCGACGGAGCCGAACTCTGTGTCTGCATCCGACCTCGAAAGACACCTGCTTCACATGTTTGATGCTGCGCATGCAGACGAACGAATCTGTGGACATGAGCCAGTCTGATAAGAGCTCAGTTGTGCACTCAGACGATACATGTTTTGTTGAACAGACCCGGTGCTGGCTTTGCGACAACCGCCAGCCGTGCTCTTATGTCTCTGTCAGATCTCTTGACAAAAAATGTCTCGCAAAGATATTCATGTTCGTTTGCCACGTCAAGGCTTGTGACCCGGGCACGCAGCGTTCTACAGGAGCGCATGCCTGCGTTTCTTTCGCTCGAAAGGAAACTCCGTTCCTAGACAGAGCAGATGTCCTGCATTATTCGTTGGGAGGACCTTCTCTACATCCAGCGCCCTGAGCTTCCCCAGGTTGGGCAGGACCGCTGGAATAACAAGACTAAGGCGACTAAGGAGGAAACGTGCCTGCGGCCTGTGCGGTGTTGCGTTCCATGCTTCCAGCAGGAGGGGAGCTTGCACCCAGAATGGAAGGAGCCCGGCACCGAATTTTGCCCAAGTTAAAGCACTGTCTGTTTTGTCGGAGATGCTACGCTTAGGACCTGCATCGCCGCATGGATTCTGGCTCTCTTCGCATCGACTCGAAGTCAGGCGACATGTACTTGGGTGCAATGTGATCAGATGCTCCAGCCTGCAGGCCGTACAGCCTTGGTCCTTCTACGAGATCGGCCCGGGGCTTTTGGTATCCGTTGCTTTCAGAGAACTGCGCGAAGACTGGAAGCGCTTCTGGTGCTTCCTTGGTTCGTGCCGGTCTGTCGCTCTGCAAGGGTTGTCACTGATCATGGGCTGTGCCTTCGAAGAGGCCGGGAGAATGCACTTGCAAGCTTGCGATGGAGATCCAGCGTTCACTAGTCCCGACCACCGAAAGCAGCTTGAGGCGACCTTCTTCGAACTCTATGGCATCACCCCTTCCCAGGCCCAGCCGTGGCTGTTGCCTCTGAAGGTTCCTTTTCTCCTCCGCTCCAGGTGGCATACAACTTTTACGTCCTGGGACTTCCGTACCACCGTCCTAACCCAGTCTTACACATCCAGGCTGCGGCTGCGCAGTGCCCATGCAAAGCTCCACGATTCTCCTGATGAGAGGAGGCCGAGTTGGGGACTGCGGAAAGACTGCGCAAACCTGAGGACCGGGCAAAGTCCGGGTTTTTCAATCACAACTCGGTTTTTGCCGAGGATGCCCCGCTGGTCATCGACATAGGCTCGCAGCCGTGGAGAGGGACCCTCTTTTGGCGATTCTGTGCCTGTGGGACCGGGGAGATTTGGGGAGGCATGGGTCTGGGAGCTGATTCGCCAGCAGCTGAGATGCTCTTTTTCTCTTGGCCCAAGGCCTCTGGCTGAGCCCAGGCGCTACTTCCTGTCCCAGGGCTTTCGTGTTGTTGCCGTGGAAGCGAACAGACGCGCCATCGAGGCAGGACGCGCTCAAGGCAGGTGTGGCAACAGCAGGACTTGTCAGTTTCTTGCGAGAAGGTCGCCATGACAATTGACTGGGTGAAGCGGTTGCCCCAGAACCTGCTAGGGACAGGCCTGCGCACAGGGTATGCAATTCGCTTGTCGCGGCCGAGGCCTTTGGTCCTGGAGGGGCAACTCGTGTTTCTTCATGCTGAGCGGTCCTCGGAAGATCCTGTGTCGAGTGTGTGCAACGAAGGGCCTGGGAGCTGATGCTCATGATTCTGGGCCGCCCGAGTGGGTGCAATGAAAGGGCTAGCTGGTGCGCTGGAATGTGACTGGAATGAAGGGCTTGGGAGCTGATGCTCATGATGTTGGCCCATGCTCATGATGCTGGCCCGCCCGAGTGGATGCAATGAAAGGCTTGGCTGGCCGGCGGGAATGTGACTGGAATGAAGGGCTTGGGAGCTGATGCTCATGATGTTGGCCCGCCCGATTGGATGCAACGAAGGGCTTGGGAGCTGATGCTCATGATGCGGGCTGATGCTCACGACGGTGGCTCGCCCGATTGGATGCAATGAAAGGCTTGGCTGGCCCGCTGGAAAGTGACTGGAATGAAGGGCTTGGGAGCTGATGCTCATGATGTTGGCCCACCCGATTGGATGCAACGAAGGGCTTGGGAGATGACGCTCGTGATGCTGGATGCAACGAAGGGCTTGGGATCTGATGCTCATGATGTTGGCCCGGCCGATTGGATGCAACGAAGGGCTTGGGAGCTGATGCTCATGATGCTGGCCCGGCCGATTGGATGCAACGAAGGGCTTGGGAGCTGATGCTCATGATGCTGGATGCAACGGAGGGCTTGGGAGCTGATGCTCATGATGCTGGCCCGCCCGATTGGGTGCAACGAAGGGCTTGGGAGCTGATGCTCATGATGTTGGCCCGGCCGACGAAGGGCTTGGGAGCTGATGCTCATGATGCTTGCCCGCCCTTGGGTGCAAAGGCTGGCCCGCTGGAAATGTGACTGGAATGAAGGGCTTGGGAGTTGAATGCTCATCATGCTGGGTTGGTTTTTCGGATACAAGCAGTCCGCGACCTTGAACGCAGCCGTACAGGTACTGAGGAAAAAGCCTTGGGCTTGCTAGGCCAGCATTATGTATCAGCTCTCAAGCCTTGTAATTTTAGTCCAACCAGCCAGGTGAATTCTGAATCAGCAGCGGCCAAGCCTTTCATTCCACCCAACCGCCTGCATCATGAGCGTCAGCTTTCAAGCCTGGTGTTGCTGGCCATCATCATGAGCATCAGCTCTCAAGACTTTTGTTTCACTCAGCCAGCATCATGAGTTTTTTTTATTGCAGCTACCCAGGCCAGCATCATGGCAGCAGCTCTCAATCTTTTTTTGGTTTTTGACATCCAACCGGGCCAGCATCATGAGCACATCTGAGCATCTCTCAAGCCTTTTATTGCACCAGCTTCCAAGCAGTTTTATATTACACGCCGCCATGCTAACATCATCGTGGGCCTCCCCTCCCACGCCTTTCATTGCACCCAACTGGGCTAGCATCATAAGCATCAGCTCCCAGGCCTAGCCCAGCTGTCGTTCCACTTGCTTCCTTATTTCGCCCAGCGCCAGAGGCTTCCCAATGAGGGGCTAGCGGCCGTCTATGTATATGCGGCCACTGTAGTGAGCACCAGCCTCCAGGCACTCCAAGTATGGTTTAGCCTCTTTGAGCCAGGTCGCTGTAGGACAGGTTGCTGCTGCGTCGCGGGCTGCGGATCCTCTTTCAAAGTATCAACCTTGCGCGTTCGGGGCGTGCGACGGCCCGAAAACTCTCCAGATCAACGGCGGTTCCTGAATCTGACATTTGCTCGGGACTTGACGTTGTTTGGTCATGCCTGGAGTGTGGCACCTTTGACGGAGATTCCACAATGTCAGATGTTGTGGCAACTGCTCTTTGAGGGTCTGTGCTGACGGAGGCTGGACTACATCAAACGTCACGATATGTGGATTCGGGTTGAAGTCTTCGCTGCGTGAGTCTTGTGATGTCTTGTGACATGTGGGCGTGGGAGTCCCGAACGCGTCTCAGGCAGTTGCGCCTCCGGGAGGTGGCGGAAGCACGACAACCGTCTATGCTTTCGACGATCGTCCGGACAGCGAAGTTGCCCGCAAATGTAAGAATGTAGGTTGCTGTTGGGTTGCCTGGTCTGCATAGATGTTCACAGCACCAGGAGCAGAGCAATGCACAGGCATGGGTAGAAGAGGTCGGAGGTGTGGCCACCTCTGTCCGTCGTGGACTCGGTTGGCCCTTTCGGGGGGGGTCCTCGAGGTGATCGAGGTGGACAGCAGGTATCACTATATGTAGTCATTGCCACTGAAAGGCACTATCGAATGTGCTGATTTGCTGCGCCTGTTTGGCCAAGCAGTGCGAGACCTGACTTTTGTATTGGCCCGCAGATTCGAGTTGAATGAGCACCGCCGGAGAGGTATACATGAAGATCGATGTGGAATCCAGTACCATCGATTGTTTGGACTCCCTGGTGCAATCTCAAAGAGATGCTCCGGGCCTTACTCCCGGACTTGAGAGCCCAGCTTGGCTCGGGCTTCTGACAGTCCACTCCCGCTACAGAGGCCGGCAGCCCGTTCTGCCGAAATTCCTTTCCATGGAGCTGGAGGCCAGCAACCTTGGCTGTTTGCCGGAGAGGTTTGCAAGACTGTCGCATGCTCTCATGAAGGCGGCATCGCTGTTCGATCCCTTCCACAGAAAGTTAAAAGAGTTGGGTGTGCAGCCTATCGCACTGAATTGCTGATGGGCCTGTGATGGATCGACGGCTTTCGAACCCGAGGCTACCTCTTCTACAAAGCCTGTCGTCAGTCCGCTCCCCATCGCACTGTGTGGAGACTGGTGAAGAGACAGCGGCATGTGAGGTATGTCTATTCTCCTTCGCCCTGCGAGCAAGGGCGATACAGCAGAGAGGCCCAGCTTAAGACACCAGTATTTCTTTGGCGCAGCATTTTCGTGTGCTGCAATTGCAGGTGCCGGGCTGTGGAAGTGGTCCCTTCGGTGTGGCCGCTGTGGACTACCTCCGTGGCTTGAGGAGACGTCGGGGTGCAAGAGCCGCGATGCTGGAGGCGTGTGTCGTTGTCAGGTGGAGCCCCATCGACGAGTTACCAACCGACATGCAGTGGGTAGAGGAGTTTGAGAAGGGCCTGGATTGGCCTTGGCCTTACGCCTGCGATTTGGGGCGCATGCGACTGAGAGTCATCCCTGAAAAGCATAAGGTTCGACTTGCATGCCATGCGAGTGGCATAGACAATCCAATCCGCAAATCAAGGGAAAAAGGAGCGACCTGCAACACTAGCAGATACGAGCAGCCAGTGGCGGGAGACCCCAAACTGTTTCTGTGTCATGTCGGCAGGTGCCTATGGCTTTTACAAGGCAGGCAGCGTGTCCGGCTGCCCAGGTCCCTGAACTGAACGTCCAGGGAGACTTCCCGCGACTTAACGCCGAGGCCGTCGCTGCTGGGAGGAGGAGGTTGCGGAGCGCTCATGGCCCAGTGCTCAGCGAAGCTCGTGGACGCCGGGACGCCATGGGACGCGAGGCGGCTTTCTTTCATCAGGTGGCCAGTGGCATGATGGTGGAGAAGGATCCGCAGGTCCGGGAATAAAGGGGCGTGGAAGACCCTCCGCGCAGTCGATCTTGCGCAGTGCCTTTGTCGCCAGTCTGCTTTCCTTCTTGGCACAGCCACGAGTGGTGCTCTGACAGCGGGGATCCAAGGGCACTACGCGGTTTTTCAGGGTGCTTGTGCGTGGGCCTGGTGACGAGATCATGCAGAGTAGTCTGCAAAGGCGGGCATGCTTCCCCGTTTCCTCTCCTCGCGGAAGGTACCTGGACTTGCAGAGCTTATGGATGCTTATGGGAAATACCAAACGAGACATACGTGCATGTCTGTTCTGATGCGAAAGGTAATGCCGACTGGCCTTGTGTCGCTGCTTGGGCTCATGGACGCAGCCTCACTCGATCACATTTCGTGCGACCGCTTTGGGTGCGTTCGCCTTGTAGGCCTTGGCTTACAACTGCATGCAGCTCAGAAAATGGTGGGATCCAGAGGCCACCTTCGCTTCTCATTGTGAAGATCTGCCCAAAGGGAATGGCAAGCTGTCCGTTCGCCTCGACTGCCGTGTGGCGGCGCAGAGACTACGTAGGGTATCATCTCAGTGCCTTGAAAGAAATGCCAGCGGCTCCCTCCCCTGGCAGGATCTGCCTTTCATTGGCAAGCTCAAGGCCTAGGCCAGGTCGACTCTGTGCGGCGTGAAGATTGGTGGACTGTGGACCTGTAAGAGTCATTTGGCTGCAAGACATGCGAAGAAACCATGCGGACGCGACAGTCCTCCTCGAAACAACAGGAGCCACAGTAGGAACACCAAAGACGGCAAGAGCAGTCCGTGCAGCGACAGGTACCTGCAACTGTGGCATCAGGAGTAGGAGTAGGATTTGGGAATGGCAACTGTTGCGAGCGTTTCTTTCATTGCCACAGCTACTACTTCTCTTGTTAATATACGTACTGGGACATCTCGGAAGTGTCACCGTAATTGGCCGAGCCATGGCGAGTGGCTTGGCGGGCAAAATTCGCCGCGTGACAGAGTCAGACGAGTTTGACTTGAGTGGCTATGACCAGGCCAGGCAGGGATCCGTGCCGTACTCGTGCATTGTCCAAAGAATATTCCAAGCCTTACTGTATCGAATCACGACACTCTGCACCTGTCCCCGCCCCTCCTCCTGATGCCCATGTCGCAAGCCTTCGTTCGTCGCCCTATCAAGTCGTAGAAGCGTGTTCGGGTTCGGCGAGAGGTGCGCTGCAACGAGCTTGCGAAGGCCGCTTTCGACGAACCCCTGGCTCTGAAGGCTGGGTGTCGAAGACCGGATACGACTGAGAAAAGAGACCCTCTTGAATTCATCTTCTCGCCTTCGGCGTTCGCGGAAGGAGATGGTTCGAATCTCCTTCGTGGTCGGAGGAGGCAAGCTAGTACGCCAGAAATACTCGGACGACCTGCCGAAGCACTTTTGCTCTGCGCTCACGCTCGTTGGCTTCCAAGAGGAGCGCCGCCTCGAATGCGCGGTGAACGCTCTGAGTAGAGAATGGAACACGTTCCGAGGTAGAGTAAGCCGAGAGAGGTCAGCCGCGGCCTGTCACTTCGGAACCACCTTTGGCAGGACAACAGTGCAACCGTGGAGGAAGGATCAGCAGGGAAGTTCAAGTACCACCATGACACGAACAAGAATTTGAAGTTCGTCCACGTTTTCCCCAAGATCTCAGAGGCACTCTTTGGCTGTGCCGAAGCACTGAAGCCAACTGAAGCCGTCCTGTGCAAGCTCTAGGCAGCTCCAGTGAGAGCGGCCGAAGAGGGCGAAGCAGAGGAGGGTGCGGAAGCCACACCCGAAGAGATGCTGCTTCGCAGCGCCTCGGACAAGAGTCTCAACTCTGCTGCACTGCTGGACACACTCTTGTATGAACTCGTGAGCATGCTCTTGTGCTTCTCGTGGTACTCCCACTAGCGAAAGGTGACGATGCAGAGTTCCTCCGGCTGATTCAGGCACAGGTCGTGCGAGCCTGACCTTCTGCAGACAGCGGCCGAGTCTGCGCGACTTCTGCGACAAAGGTCACGTATGCAGAGAAGAAGAGGCTGCTGGACATCCTGAAGCAGTGGCGAGCCCAGACGGCGTTGTGGCATTTGTCTGGCCTTGCATGAGCTGACGGCAAAGAGTCTCAGGCGCATCTCCGACCTGGAGGCTTCCAGCTTTCTCCACTTTGCGAGCGGTGAAGTGAGGTGAGCATCCTGTTACTTTCAGGCGATCGAGGCGAAAATGACCCGCCTTGAGCGGCTGGAGCCGTCTGAGGAGGCGCTCTTCAACGACGTTGGGGCAGAGGCCTAAAGAGTTACAAAATCTCGTAGTGGCTTGTGTTCCCAGAAGGCATCCGCCAGAGCATGACCTGCTCCGAGTTTCATCTCCACGCGCTCAAGAAAGGAACTGAAGGAAAAGCGTAAAGTGGTTGAGAGCGAGATGAAAGCTATGGTGGACTCGGGACGCCTCACCGCCGCCGAGAGAACCGACCTCCTAGCGTCTTGGAGAAGAACGACTGTTCGAAGTTTCCACCCTCCCTTGCTCCCTTCTTTCCCTGAGGGCTGCTGTTGTACGACAGTATCCTGCAAAGGAGCAGCTGGAGGGAAAGCTGGAAGCGGTCAACGCAGAGATCGCCAAAGCGCAGCAAGACGGGAAAGCCAAGAAGGTACAGGCACAGTGGCTGGTTCGCGCGGTTCGCCGTAAGTGAGCGAGCTTGCCTGCTCGTGAAACATTTGTGGGCCAAACTACAGTCCCGTGTGCAGGCTTTGCAGCACCAGCTTGAACTCATGCAGAGCACGAAGGCTTCAGTGAAAGCAGCTGAGCCAGTTGCCCTGCCTCCGTTGAAGCACGGCCCGAAAATCCGAGAGCTGCGCCCGAGACCCGGGCTTCCTCGCCGTTGCATCAACTTTTAGACACCTCCGTATCGCAGAGACTTTCCCTGGCTCACTGAGGTATGAAGCTCGCTGAGCTTGCGCAGGTCGAGAAGGCGAGAAGATGCGGCCGCTTGCAACAGCGGCACCATGTGCTCCTTGCCCTCGCCAGGTCTCGAAAGGCCGGAACTTACTGCGCGGCCGCCTCGATTTTCCGGTTCACTGCATCGCCTGCATCGCAGGGCACTACTCGATGGACGAGCTGAAGAGGCTCGCATGGCATACTCGAAAGGAGGGAACGTGGAAGCGTGGAAGAGTGTGCAGAGTCGCCTGGAGAGGCTGGGGGAGCGTCCGGAGATCGAGGAGGCAGTGCAGGAGCTCGAGAAGCGGGCAAGAGGATGGCTGGAAAGCGACGAGGCGCGGCAGATCGCGGCAGTCTCAGTGCGGCCCAAAAACTCTGCGCTGTGCGCGGTATCTGAGCAGGTCTTCCAGGAGCGGCTGCAGGCCTTGGCGCAGCCTGCACATAGGTCTAAGCCACTCTCTCTGGCTTTCGTCTTGAGGCGAACCTTCGCACCGGTCTCAAAAAGGGTACCGGCCGCGGTGGTGGCAGTGGAGGGTGCCTTTGTCACAAGTGGGATTTTGATCATGCCGTCAATGGTGCTGGACTTGGACTCGGTGATACTCGGTGTATGCAAAGGTACACCGCCGTCAGCTCTGGGGCACGTCCAGCGAAAGCAAAGGCATCTGGGCCAGCCGTTCGGAATGGCTTCAGTGCATTGGCCTAAGCCTCGAGATGCCAAGTTGACCTGTTGCGCAACTGCGGAAGTTATGGCTGTCCATGTTAAAGTGTGTCCGAAGTGAGCAGCGGGAGCCGCCGCTTCACTTTGCCGTGATGCCTTGTACAGACCCGGACCGCACACTCGAGAAAGCGCCGATTGCAGCTGCTGCTCTGCATGGGATGTCAATGCATGTTGGTAACCGAAGCGTGCTCTCGCAAGTGCTGTGTGCGGGCCCGGCTGTGGGCTGTGGGAGGTGGTGGCTGGAGCTTCCTGAGGCTCGGCACGAGAGCGCCGAGGGGAAAAAGTGCTCTCGCAGAGTGCTGGCAGTGGGAGTCGCGCCTCTTGCCCGCGTCGCCGCTTGGTGTCGCTTCCCAAACCCTACCCCTCACATTCTCGGAGTGCAAATCCGGCGTTTATTCTGTGGAAAGAAAGACCAGCCGTGGATGTACCGCTCCTGCATGGGCGAGCAACTGGACGTTCCGCTACAAGCGCATCCGGCATTCGGCCCAAAGCCATCAGGCCCATGCATGCTTCGAGAATGAGGAACCGGAGCCTTCGCTGACAGCAGCATCAGCTATTGCACACAGTACCACGCACAAGCAGTTCTCCAAACAAAAGGGCAGCACAGAGGAACTGAGCGCACGGCATCTCTGCCCACACCAGAAACCTGAACGTCTCAAACTGCGAACAGAACTTGACAAAGCACTGGTGCAGAACAGTGATCCATCAAAGCCAATGAGCCATGTGACGACATCGGCAGGAGAAGATGCAGTCCCGCGGCGCCAAGAAGGGCTCTGGAGTGTACTCGTAGGGTGAGATGAGGGCGGGTCTTTGGGGTGTGTGGAGTAGCTGCTAGAGACGTAGCTCAGGTGACCCAGGCACCTGCAGGCGAAGTGCCAGAGTCGGAGGATGAGCTGCTCCACGAATGTGATGTTTACTTGAATCGAATGTACGACCCTCCGGATTTTGTCGGCGACATGTATGTTCTGCAGTATCCCCTGAGGCCCAGCTACAGACCTTACGGGGATCAAGGGGTGCTGGACAAAGTCGAACTAAAGCCGAAGTCTCGCCGTCTCAGATTTGCCTACAAGCTGCATCAAAACGATCACTACGCGGAGGAGGACGTCGTGCAGGAAAAGTACGAGCAGCGGCATACCCTGAACTCCACTGTTGTAGCAAATCCTGCATGCAGCTATGCGGTGGGAGTCATCCGTCAGGGCCGGATGACACTGACACCTATCCGTGCAGTGAACCAGCTGCGGCCAGACTTCGAAGACTTCGAGAAGTTGAAGAAGACCGCTGATCGGGGGCCCCCGCCCGGGCCCCCGACCGGCGCCGAAGCCGAAGCAGCCCGGGCGAGGGCCTCCGACAGCGAGGAAGAGCCTCCGATGCCAGAGGCTCCAATGGCTGCAGCTCCAGTTCGGGTAGAGTACCTCAGCGGCAAGGGTGCGCAGGGTGCGCAGGCAGAACAGATGGCCAAAGCAGCTGACACGGAAGATGCATGGAAGAGGCTCGACTTCTTCGATGCAAGTTCTCCAGAGTCTGCGGACATCTACCTGCAACACATCGTCTTCGCTGCCACCGAGGCCGCAGAGGCCGACATGGAAGGCTCCGCGCCAGAGCACCCGAAGCTTCAAGCACTTGAGCTCGATGGTGACAACGTCTCTTTTCTGAGATCCATGTGTGGGCATGCGGAGGAGCGCAACCGACTTCGGCAGTTGCGCCAGAAGGCTTCTGTGAATCAGGATGGACTCAGTTCATATGTCCTTAGTAAGATGCCAGCCGAGAGACAAGTAGAGGCCATTGTGAGGCATTTCGGAGTGGCCTCCTATACGCATCATGTGCGAAAGAGGCTGCCCCAGAGCACTCTTCGAAGCATTGGCTCAGATGTAGCCCTCATTACAATGCTGCAAGACTGTGCTGTTCTGGTTTGTGGAAACTGGGTCTTGAAATCCAAGCTGGCGAACTTCGAGGGCATGGAGGCGAACGCGAGGGACCTTCTGCTTTCCATCCTCAACAAGAGGGCACCTCGATGCTAAGTCTTTGGAAGTTTTGACACGTGTCCCGAGCTCTCTGCGCTCACCCCAGGATCAGACACTTATTTGTGCGCCCGTTGCGACCCTGGGACCCCACTTCGCAGAACTCGGAGCCATTCATTAAAGATACTGCTGATGTTGCAGTAACGAAGGTTGGGGCTTGTGCGCGCTCTCCCGATGACCCCGCAACGAAACTGAGCCGTCGGCGGAAAGCTGCCTTAGGCGATGTAAATCGTTACAAGCGGACTCTGAACAGCGTCTTTTTTTGTGGCGGCAGGGGAGTTGGTGAGAACGGAATCTGAGGCAGGAAGGCTACCCCCTGCGGATGTTTCAAAATGGAGCAGTGCCGGCACCTCAGAAAGATTGACAGCCCTAAGGCCCGAAGGCCCTGACTACATGTATCCGAGGTTTGTTTGGACAGTCATAGCTTACTCCGGTTATTCCGATTTACATTCAGCTATACCGCGCCGGATTGTTTGCAACTGGTCCTTCAGGCGCGCAGCCGTCGTGCCCAGGCTTCAGTTAGGTCTGTAGCCGATCTTCCTCACGAATGGCACCCGCCGCTGAGGCAAAGTGCTGCAGTTGCATTGCCAGCCATGTCTCTCATGAGTTTGCACAGGTGTTTTCGTTTTGATTTTGCATGTTAGCTTAACAGTGCTGAAAGACGGTGAAGGTCATGTCCGCGCAGCGGCATCTGGGATGCAAGCAGTTGTTCAGGATCTGTAGTGTGCATGGAGGCATGGAGTTTAAGTTCCTCGAAGTTGTTCGGCAAGTGGTGCAGTCTCATCCTGAGCCATTCGTTTCCCAAGGCGGCATGACCCTACATCTGAGTCCGGCTGGGTCTCCTCCTATGCAATGCTGAGTCTTTGCAAGGCCGGGTTGGGGCTGAAAACCGAGGTGCTGCTGGCTGCTTCGGGCTCGTCGTTTGCTCGGGGTGCAGCGCAGTGCAGTGCAAGGCGCCCAGCGACACCACCCGCAGCCCAACTCAGTCGGAGCCCTCCTCGAGCTGCCCGTCGACACCACCCACCAGGTGCCCGGAAGTGCCCTACTAAGACCTGAGATGCTCGAAGAGCGCTGCATGAGGTGCAACAGCAAGCCTCTTGCTGCTAGACTGCGGAACTACGATTCTGTGGCCAATGAAGAGATGTGGAAACATGGCATGCCTACAATGCCTTTGACCGTTGCATTGCACATCTGCCATGATGGCATGCTGTTCGCTTAGGAAATGGTTGTGGCTCGACTTCGCTGCGCCAGTGCAAGCGTCTGTGTAAGCCTTACTTTATGCCTCGGTACGGGATGTGCTTGGGTCGGCAGTGATCGACAGTGCGTCTCGTGCATGCAAAAAGTAAAGCTGAGTGGCTGCACGTCCGGAAGCGCTGGGAATCGACGTTTGGAGAGGAGACCACAGTTGATCGCCTTGGTGCGGCACAGGAGAAATTCAGGTTGGAACGCCTGGAATCACAAGCACCCTTCTTTTCTCTAATCGGCGAGACCTTGAAGAAGCCGTTTCGGGAACACACCCCAACATGAGGTTTTGTTCGACGGCCACCCGCTAGAGCCTTGGGGAGCAGGGACCCGGCATCCTAGCACCTGGCGTTCTGGCTACAGACAGAGGCCTCAACACTATCTCGTCGGTGAGGCACAGGAGGTACAGGACGAAAAGGATGAGCCTTTGGTGAAGGTTTTCGAAAGAACAGGTGGTGCGGTACGCTGGAGGCTGGAAAGAGGAGCATGAAACAGACTCGGACCGCGACCGAACTTACCCGACCACTGGCCATTGATTCATGCACAGACCGGGACCGTCTTGAACTTGGCTTCACGGCAACCATCGGAGCTTTTCAAGGGTTTGGGGGCATCTCAGGTTCCACGGCTGATCAGGAAGTCCATGCGCAAGTGCTCTAAGCATGGAGCTGAGGGCGGTCGAAGCGTGGCGGACCTTGTCGCTGTTGCATCAAGTCCGAAGTGACAAGGAGCTCTGCGAGTTTAGCGAGTCTGGACTCCATGGACATCGAGGGGCTTGACACCATCACCGAAGAGCCTGCGGCCTTGTTTCTTTGAAACTCGCTTGCGTCAAAGAGTCGATCCCTCCCTCTCCTTCGTCCCAGGCATAGCGTGGGCTTATCACGCAACTCGCTGCTCGGGGAGGTGCCCGGTGCCCTGTGGCCTGCACCTTCGTCGAATCCCACAGCGTCCTCGTCGTGTTCTCGCCGTGACGTCGCTCGCCGTGCCAGGGGTCTCTGGGAGCTGCTGTGTTCACTTTGGTCTCCTCGGCCATGGGCGCCGGCTGCCTTTCGTGCCGGGCTTGGGAGATTCAGACTTGGAGAAGTGATCTCTGTGGCCAGTGCCCAGGCTTCCGTTCATGCTGAAGAACTCAGGCGGCTCTACTGCAAGAACACGGCGGTCTAAAGTCGGTCTTACCACGATAGCCGGATGTTGACGACATCAAAACAAGGTATCATATCTGGACTGTTGATGCTGGGACTGGGGGCAGTCTTGGCACACCTGTCGTTGGTAGTCCCTTGGAGCCGGCACTTGGTATGTGCTTCCGTTATGTGCTTCTGCTCACCCCATGGTGCATGAAAGTGTGACCTGCGAGGTTCTGATGAGCTGTGCCCGATATACAGAGTCGGAAAGCAGCTTTGCAAGACAGAGGACACATGTCATTGCGGCTCACGTTGTGTGGAAATCTGGAAGATGAGGCATGGCCCAGCTCGTGGCATTGGCACGCGGGCGGGGATCCGGGCGCATCGTGGATGTGGTCATTGCTGTTTATGGGCCCCTGTGCCAAAGTACAGTAGCGTACAGTTCTCGCAATCCCCGTGAGCCTCGTGAGCCAGAGTCAGCCCGAGCTGAGGATATCGGCAGTACTTTGTTACCTGATGTTCATCGGCGATTTTTTTCTTGGCATTGCTAGGCGCAGGCCTCAGGCAAAGCCGGGGTGCCCGCATGGTCGCCGGAGTCCGAGGTCGCCTCTCTTGGATCTGCAGGTCTCAAGGGAGACCCTCATAGCCTCTTGCATGCATGAAAGGGCCAGCAGCAAGGGAGGACTTCTGCTAATTCTGATGTCGGTCGAATCTGCGCCCGAACTCCAAGCCAAAGGGGACACGACGGGTGATTGCTGACAGGTCTGCATTGCGGTCACAGTGGTTTGGCCGCTCTCTCTGCCGCGGCGGCCTGGCCCAGAAGAGACTCTCAAGTGGAAGCAGAGACCACCTAACGTCCTTATTCAGAAGCAAAAGTAGCAGTCGTAGGAAGAAACTGTAGCAGTCTATAGATATTGCATAGCTCGGCATTCTGTGGTTCGCATTCAGGCGGCTCTCAGCCCTTCGATACGTTTGCTGCCCGGCGGAAGTTTGAAGAGACCTTCTGGGTATGTCGGGGGAAGGGAAAGATGTCCCAACTAGCACACATGGTGGCTATACTGTGTAGGCAAGCAAAACGGCGTGCTAGCAGTTCTAGTGCGGAGTATCAACTTCTGAACGTTCCGTGGTGGAGGTGTGTTGAGCGTGCTGGCCATCGGCCTCACTGCCTTGGTCGTTACCTGGCGAGCGCCGAGCTATGCTCAGCTCAGGAGCGAAGTGATTCAGCACATGGGGTGATGCTTCTCTTGAATCTTGGGAGTGTTGCGACAGGAGTGCTGCGGCTGATAAGGACGAGAAGTGGCAGCTCGTCTGGTGGAACAGCGACCCGCACCTTGCCGAGCAAAAGGTCATGCGGTCGTGCGCACAAGCCGACTGAGTCAGCTCGAGATGAGGTACGCGGCTCTGCAGTCCTTCAGCATTGCCTTGTTGCTTGCCAGAGCTGAACCGTGATGCAGTGAAGAAACACACCCATACGGCATTGCAGTGTGCAGTCAGTCAAACATTCGGTGATGCAGGTTCTCTTTTGCGGCGCACACGAATGCAGTACCCGTTGCTACTGCATTGAAGCAAGCGGATGGTGGAAGCATCTGGCGAGTCTCTCTGTATTCAGTGGCTCGGCACGTCAGCCACAGCAAGATGCGCGCTTGCGCAGGATGCCGGAAGGCAGCATGGACATGGTAAGACTGGAGCCTGGACTCAGGTGTGTATCGAGTTGGTCTTCTACACACTGATGGGCTTGGCTGGATATGTGCCCGGTCAGCATGTGCACTGAAGCGACTCCCGTAAATCTAGTTTTGTATGTTGCTTGCAGGGAACGGTGCTCTCCATGGGAGGGAGCAGTGCTCGAGTTTCCATGGAAGGTCTCTTTTCGAGGATACACCGAGCAGGACTTCATCCTCAATTACCGAAATGATGACATGCTGATGTTCTTGGTGCGTGTCTTGTCTTGCAGAGCCTTCCCTTGCGCTTCCAGGTTTCGGGTATCTATTCTGGTCTCCAGCAAGGATTTTCAGTGTGCAGCTGCTTCTTCTGTTCAGGTTGCATTTATGGCGTGGTTGTCTGCCTGGGAGCACCGATCAACTTGTCACCCGCCGCACAGAGCTTAGCCGGACTTGGCCATGCCTCAAGGTGGCTTGTTCCATGATTCGGAAGCGCCGGTGAGGCCTCAAGCATTTTGGGTCTTCTGGGCAGCGAGCGCAGGACCCCCAAGAGGCCCCTGGTGTGCTTGATTTTTCGGCATCCAGGTCTTTACTGACGTGCCGCACTTTGGCCCTTGCAGTGCGAGGCACTTCATTGTGGTGACTTCAATCATTGCACCTGCGCCGCAATTCAGCGAAGTTGATGCCGTTGCCTTGCCGCTTCTTCTGCTGGGGCCCATGGGGCAGGCCAGCTGCGTCTGCGTGGCGCTCTGGAGTGAGAAGGTGGCAGACGTGATCGGCCTGATTGGTGCCAGCTTTGGCTCGCTGATCGTACGGGAACTCAGAGTCTTCGTGGTCTTCTTCAGAATCAAGCTTTATTGATTCAGGAGTGTCCCTGCAACGCACCTTCAGCGCACCTGAAGGGTCCGTTGAAAGTCTCGACTCGAGGTGCTGGCATGGCCCGCTATGATCTATCGCCAGGCTATGTTCGACACTTGTCAAGGTTGTGGACCAGCTTGCCCTGTTAAGGAGAACACTCGACGCCTGCACCTGTCTGTCTTTTCTGAGGGCCTTCAATGACAAAGATATAAACTCTGTAGTATACGACAAGACTCAAAAAAACACGACAACCATGAATTATGAGATATTCTTGTATGACATAGTATAACCCTAAACCCTAAACCCTAAACCCTAAACCCTAAACCCTAAACACATAACATGAGATTTTATAACCATAAGAGAAGGGAAGAGAAGGTACTCAGATAACCCCGGCAGGGCCGGCCTGGCTCTTTCAACGTGAACTCCTTGGCGCCTCAAATGCTATAGTACATCGTATGTACTATAGTGTATATATATATATATATCACAGTATATTATAGTATATTATAGTATAATATCGTATATCACAGTATATTATAGTAATTATATTATAGTACATTATAGTATATACGGTTTAGGCATTTCGGGTGCCCCGTCCCTCCCCGCACAGCTCACTCCCCTGCCCCCCCTCCGAACTGCAAAAAACTGGCAGCCCAAGCAAAAGCCCGGGTACATTTGTCATCAATGCGCGCCTGAGGGTTTCTGGTGTTTTATGATAGCAGCACGGCCGTAAACGCATCAGCATGTCTTTGCAGAGCCAGAACCAGGTCCACGTGTGCATGTTTCAGCGACTGATATGCTCATTCTGTCGGGGACCTATAACACACCGTATTTTCGTGCAAGAGCCGAGGACTTGCACCCCAGGCGTGCGGTGCTTAGCGGTGGGAGGTTCTTTCAGGCCAGGGCCATGCCCAAGGAAAGAAATGATCGCTGAGCTCAGGTCTCGCGAATGCCATCTTCTACTCGCTGGCTTTTGCAGCCTCACTAGGCCCTCTCTTGAGCAGAGGGCCCAGGGAGGGCCGTGTCCTCTGACTCTGCCTGGAAGGCTTGACTTCTTTCGTGGTGCAGACGCTGCGCTCCTTCGATGCATGTTCTGAACTGGCACAGCTGCAAGATCTCTGTCTCGTCCCAGGTGCGTGGAGCTGAATGCTAGGGCAGCCCACAAGAACTGAGTGCACTTCTATACTCTCCAGCTTTGCAGCTGGATCAATCCAAGCATTTTGATCATGGTAAGTCCGGGAGCCCGCTCCTGGCGCCTCGCAGTAAAGTCAATCCTTGGGCACCGTGAGCGAGTCTTCACAGTGTTCTTCCAGAAGACAGAATCCTTTTTGGACCCTACTGAAGCATTTGACATGAGTTATTGGAAACTGGCTCGTCACATCGGCAGCGAGTCTGAGTCACCAATCATTTTTTCAAAGTAGTCCTCTGAAGCGCAGTACACAGCGCATTTGGTCTTTGCAGTGCGTGACTCCTTCAAGCTCGTGATTTGTAACCGCAAAGCGGTGCCGTGTCGGCAAGTTTTCAGCAAAGCAAACTTCCGATGAATTCAAGCACGGTGATGGGTGAAGAGAGGTGGCTAGCCAAACCATAGCTTAAGCAACTCATTTATGTAGGTGCGAGATGAGAAATGTTCCAAGATCCAAGCGGACTCATGGAACAGTCTTGCAGGTCTCTGAGGGTTTCTGCTATGAGATCACATTGGTTGGCCCGTCCTCACTCCGCCCAGTCACAGGGTGTGCAAAGTGGCCTTCAATCTTCCGATTGCTGCCGGTCCGCCGGCGCGCGCTCGGCGCGGGTCTGCAGCATAGGCACGCTCAGGAACGGCCGGAGCCCCCTCAATCCGCGATCGCTTTCTTGCCGGAGAGACTTGCGACACTAGAAGTCCGAGATCTCTCGGGCAAGGCAATAATCCATTTCAGACTTTCTAACAAGAAAGCATGTGGCGTGGCAATTGGGAACGAAGAGGGCTAGGAAACTAGCATTCAGACAACCAGACTCCTTTTGATGCTCATACACAGCTGCAGCTCTTGACGTCCCCATTGCCCTAAGTCGTCTGACGTGCGACGAGCATGGCATTGGGATTTTTGCTTCAGTCCAGGCCCGGTGCTATATCAGAAAAGATGATGCTAGGCCTGTATTACGTTTGAGTCATGTGGGATGGTCTTGCTTCTTGGAAGGAGGCCCAAGCGTCTCTGAGTCAAGTGTCCAGCGTGTTTCGCCAGCCCTCCAAGGCCTTCCAACAGACCGTCGCAACAGATGCACTCCGGGAGATCGTTCGCGGTGTGCTGCAAGAGTCCGAGGCAGTCCGCGATTGCCCGAAGCCTTCACAGACATGTCCTTTGGAGCTTTCGAGTGTAGGACAAGCAGTACTGGAAGATGAAGGCCGAACCCGACCAGGACTGAAGGTGAATTGCTGGCGCTTTGCAGTCTTGTCAGGCTTCCAGACCCTGCAAGTGCCAGGACTTCATGCATCGATACTCCGAGCTGGTGAGGGAGTCTGACGACTGGTGCGAAGCTCATGTTCTGCTGTGGCGAAGTCGTCTTTGGGATTGGGATTAGTAGGTGGTGAGGTGAGTTCATTGGCCATGACTCATCAATCGTTATTTCGCAGATGCTCCATTGAGTTTACCTGGACTGCGAGCATGTTGTACCACCTACGAATGCCACCGGTCTTACAGAATGCAATTTGACAACAAATTGATTGCAGCCCCACTTGGACGCCGAGCGCTGGCTAGATGGTCGCGGTGCAGCAAGATAACTTAAAAATGGTGGTGCACAGCATGTCATGTGTTGTTGGTGGGGCGCTCGCTTTCAAAGGCTCGAATCTCGCCGCGCGGAAGTGATCAAGGCAGCACCCGCACGCGCGTCTGCACCCGGTCCGGAACTCCTCCGCTTTTGCTGTGCTCGTAGGCCGGCAAAGAGAGCATCTCCGGCGGACTTAGGATCTTGCGGCCTTACAGTCGTCCTGAGATGTAGAGGCGCATATGACAGGCTCTGGGGGCGCCACTGGGAGCAGGCTTCAGGCAAGGCAGCCCTCTCGCTCTACTCGGGGGCCGTGCCAGTGCCTGGCAGGCCTCTGCTGGAGCAAGTTCCAGGATGCGTGCCCGACTGTTGCCGGAGGCTGGCCATGACAGAGCAGGGGTCCGCAGGCATCCTTGCGGAGTGTGCTGTGCAGGCACGTGAAGCACTCCTATCTGGGCCCAAGACTGCGGAGGAGTTGAAAAGGTGCACAGTTTTGCGCAAGTTGGGCCGAGACATGCCACCTTTCGCCAGGCTTATCCAACGAAAGCATCCCACGGAGGAGATCCGAGAGGTCGGGATCCTTGGAATGGCAGAAGCGAGAAGCAACTCTGACAGCAGGAAGACTTGCTGGGTGTCCTTTCCATGGAGGAGCTGGATGCGCTCCAGGCATTGACGGTCCTTCAATCTTCACGGCAAAAACAGGTACTCGCATTCCTTTTTGACCAGGTCCGTGGTGTTTGGGTCCTTGCTCGCACTGGGACAGAGTCCCACGACAAGTTCCGCAAGACTCTGTCGCGACCATTGCAAAGCAGAGAGTTCAGGAATCTTGCGTTACATGATCATCCCAGGCTCGCGCTCTTCCGCCATCGGGACTCTGTCACTCGACAGGAGGTGATGGTCGGAACCTGAGATGCACGGGAGCCAGTGGAGGCTGATTCAGCAGGAGAACCCGTGGCAGGAAGAGTACCAGCAGACCTATGGTGAGAGGCTTGAGCGAATCCGCTCGCAGCTGCAACCTTTTGATTTGCAAGAGCCGGACAATCGCCGGGCCTAATTCTTGCCTGCAGGTGCAAGTTGAGCGATTACGTTGTGCGGCAGCAGCTGCGAGAAATCGCTGAAAAAGTGGAAGATGGTGCGACACCAAGGTTGTTGATGTATAGACACACTCCGGGCCAATCATACTGCTATGCCCGCTTCGGTCGGTCCTGCATCTTAAGGAACTCAGACCGTCTACATAGTGAAGGGTGCGCTTCAGACCCGGTGAGCGATCCCGGCTCCTGTACAAATTGCGGTGTACGAGATGGGCAAGGGCACTGCTGCAAGAAGGAGCAGTCTCCGAGATGCGCGATCGTCACTCCGGTTTCACATCCAAGCCGATGACGGAAGAAAGGTTAGCGGTTAGCACCCGACGGTTTCATTCTCGCCATGAGGGCCGTCGTGCCGTCTAGAAGGCATTTCGTTCGAATAAACGTGCCAGGTCCTTCCAGCAAGGGAAGAGGCCGGCGTGTTGTGTTTCGGATGGGTTGGGCCTGCCTTTGTCTCGCCAAGGCGCAGCTTAGTGCGCGATGATGTTGAAAGGGCTGCTGTCGAGTACCCTTGCTTTCGGCTCGCGTGCAGAAGCAAATTATTATCGTTCTATGGTACGAGCAATCCGCACACGGCTCCTTGTCGCGTAGACAAGCTATGACAAGCTCACTTCACAGTCACAGGATCGGGTTTTCGGATTAGTAAAGAGGCGCTTGTCTTGCCAACCTCGCCATGGCGATCGAAGAGCGCGACATTAATGCGCCTTGTCGGAATTTGTTGCCTAGTTACTGTGTGCGAGAGCTTACGTACATGCCTGCCCGATGTGGCTGTTCGAGGCATGGCAGTTTTCAGCTTTTCCGAGCGCACCCTTCAATCCACCACCCTTGCAGGCGGGACGCCTAGGTACTCGTGCTCGAAAAACGGCTAGTACAGCAACACCTCAAGCATACTTGGGGTATCTGGGCTCTGGCTAAGCGTAAGCCGTCTAGTCTAGATTCATTGGTTTCATTCTAGTGTCGGAGTGCAGGCGAAGCCAGGGTGGAAGACGCTGGAGGCCAGCCTGCTACCTTTTGAGAACGCGGACACCTGAGTACTCGTAGTCAGCCAAACATGAACAAGCCCGACGTTCGAGGGCTTTGTCGAAATACCAGCATTGCGTGTTTGCATACCCATGCCAGACTGAGCTGCAGCATCAGTCCCGATATTGCATGCACCTCAGGGATCCTCAGGGTGGAAGCCGAACTACAGTCTGTGTTTAGCAATTTCGACATGCCTTTTGTTTGCCAAGGCCACGACAAGATCCAGTGTGATCTTGACTCCCTGCATGCCCAGGCCACTGCCATGGATGTCTAAGAGTGCACATATCCTAGAGAGCCTCTAGAAGCTGCTATGGACCGCGCTCAGCTTAAAGCACGGCAGCATTCCGCAATCCAGGTTCTCAACGAGGTCCACACAGCCGTGGCACAGGAGTAGCACTGTCTCAGTCTGTGAACTCCACCGCCAAAACCGGCTTCGAAATGGCGGCAGGAGATCCAAAACTCTGCTCGAGGTCTGCACGCCCTGAAAAGTCAGGCTGCCATGGAAACTTTGTAGAGGTCTGAGACCAGTGTGTTTCCGCTTCAATGCCTGGAGGTCAACTCCGACATCGACAGATTACAGTCTTCAGTCAGCACCGACCCTACCAGTAGGGATAAACGAAACGATCATTGCTGTTGCAGATCATCACAGTTCACACGTAGGAGCCCACCCGGAGCTTTCCGAGGTGACCTCTCCAAGGACACGGAGTGCGCATCTGCACGCTTCGATCTGCTTCCTTCTTCAAAGACCACTTCAGCCAACTCTTTCATCGGAATTGCTTTGCATCTGCCCGGCACGGCCCGGCACGGAAGCTCAACATGCTACTGCGAAGAAACCATATGCCAGGCTTCTGCGTGTACAGCGGGATCGGGACAACGAGGAAGTAGCGGGAGCCATCATCGAGGCACTACAAGCAGAGCTTCACCGCGAGTGTCGTGCAAGAATTAACAACGGCGACCAGGAGTTCGGCTCAAGGCTAAGGATGACGGGCCCTGACTAGGGCAGGTGGCACACCGCTGAACTTGAGGGGCATTTGCATGTCACGATCTACAACTTCCCATGTAAGATTGAGATGGTGACCACAGAGCCATGTACAGCGCTCCGTGGCCAAGCAATGCATGCAAGCGCTTCCTAGTGACGCTTGATTGCACTGCGCCACCTTGCCGCCAGAGCTCGCTTCATGTGCGAGGTGGTAGCCCAGTGCTTGCATGCTCCATGTACATGCGGCCCGTCATAGTCCGAAGTTCTATTTTTGCATACGGGCGGGGTGATGGACGGGGTAGCCGGGTAGCAATCCTCCAGCTGATCTAAAGTTTGCGGTCCCTCTCCTCTGTGACAAACTGTTGCTCGGTAGGCCTGTGGGACATTGTACATTTTACTTCATTTGGCCTAAGCCTGCAGGCAATCCTGTTTATGAATATCCTTCAAAGGCTTTGAAGGGCCAACCTAGTGCGCCATGCAAGGAAGCTGATGGAGATGCGAACATCTGGATTCAAGTAAAGGGGGTTAGCAGCTCGGCTCAATGTTGTAAGTGTGACGCTTCACATCATTTGGCGGCATATGCCGCGTGAATTGAAAGGTGGCCATGAGCTACTGCGCATTCAACTCGAGGCCAAGACGCGAGCATCCGGGAGTCAAATGGAAGAAAGATTACAACGAGTGTTCTCGAATGTCCCACCACCCAGGCTACGAAAAGACAGTGTTTGGGTCGAGAGATGGCCGGGTAGGTAAGCATGTAGCTTCGACCACAGAGCACCTGATGAGTGAAGCGGATCGAAGCGCTGATGCAGCAAAGATCCGTTTCGCGTCCCTTGCATGGTTCTGGTCTAAGGTAGTTGATCTGAAGCAACAGCCCCTTGGTCACATGGGACACGGGATCTGGAGCCACGGTGAGTGTTCTTGTGTTGAAAGGGGCTTCGGGCTGAGGCTGTCTCTGCTTCTTGGTGTGTCGGCTGACGATCAGCATCTGGCTTGGTCCCGGCAGCTGCTGAAGGACGCCTTCCGGCTCCGTAAATTCCCGTGGCATTAACAATGGAATGCTTTTTACGCGGATGCTCCGCTGAAGCTCGAGAATCTCTCGAGAATCTTATCTTGCACCACTGCACATCTGAGTGCTTGCTCACTCCAACTCCTCAAAGGTCGCGTGCTGCCTGTTCTACTTCGTAGAAAGTAGTTCTTCATAGAAACTACGTCTGCTGGACGATCCTGCCACAGCCCGTAGGTCCTGGGGGCCAGTGCGAAGTGAGACCGTATTATGCTGCAGGATGTACACATGATCAGAAACACTCCACTCGAGCAGAAGCACTTACTGTTCGACACCGCACAGGGTGGGTTTGCTGGGGCATTATGTCATGGTAGCAATTGGAATTCCCCAGTCAGGGCTTTGCACACATGTTACGGCCTGGTACACATGCTGCCGCTTGCCCCGAGGATGACGAGCGTCTTGGTGAACTTGCGGCACTGATGCAGGCCAGGCTAAGGGACAGATGAGAATCCACGATGCATGACCTGAGTCGCGGAAAGGCGGAGATTGAGCTCTACGGGATGCTAGCCTCGGATCTGAACACGCAGAGCAAGACGAGCCTAAGATGCCTGTGAGCTTTTTGGGGGAACCGCGTAGAACGGCGTCGCCTCCTCGGAGCTTTGAGCACAGCTAAGGGACTCAACGAGGCTGGAGCTTCTCCTTTTCGTGGCACCGGGCTTCTTTGACGTCCGGGTGCCCGAGGAGGGCAGACGTCAAGTCCCCGAAACTTCCACAAGCCCGGTGCGCAATTCCGCAGGAGCGCAGCAGCCCGGGCTTCCTGCTTCCCAAGCTCTCATTCTCCTTCCCGCAGCTTCCTCTTGCGCAGCGAATCTTCGTCGAGGACGTAGAGACAGGCTTGAAGATGCATCTCCAACGCAACACAAAAGCATGTCCCGACCCGGGCATTCCTGGAGGTGCCTGGGCGGAGCAGGCTGGCGTTCGCCCCGGTGACGAGATCCTGGCTTTGGGTGGTCGTGGCTTTGTGGCAGTTGCTTGATTGCCGATGTTTTGCTCGCCCCCCTGCAAGCAAAGCCTGGCTTTCTGAAGATCGTTTCAACATAGACTTGCGACTGTGGAGATCAGGCCGGGTGTCCAGCCTGGTCCGAGGTGAGCAAGCGCCCCAGTGACCACGGCAGAAGCAGGAAAGTCGGAGACTTGCCGACAAAGATGAGGTTCAGTGCGCTGCTGGAGCAGACCCTGTGCTCAAGCGGCGTGATCCAGCTTGATCCTCGGATGCCTGCGAAAGCCAACACCCCAGGCGCTTCTGCCAATGCTCTGCAACCATTGACATGTCATCAAAAGTGAGCCGAGGTTCTACAGGGGCGGGCTCGAGTCGTACTTTCCTGGGAGCTGCACGGCACGCACTCGAGGTTTACAAGTTGGTAGGGAAGAAGTCTGGGTTAACATGGATTGAATTATGCCTTAAACACAGAAGTCTTGCCTGCGAGAGAGTGAGACTCATCGTAATGATTTAAGCATCAACAATGCAAGGCTTCTCTTCGAATGATACTACCGGTGGCAGTGTGGAAATGAACTCCGTGCTTTGGCGTGACAGAGTCAAGCCAGTGGTACCTTACTTTGTTGTATTGTGCGGGCCCGCATCATCTTTGAATGTCCAGGTGCTCTGCCTGATCGCCAGCATGGAAGACCATGAGCTCATGGCAACGCGCTTGCCGACTGGTACGCGGATCCGTGCCCTGCTGCAAGGCTGTGCTCGTATCAGAAGACTTTCTTGCAAGAAGAAGTTGCTCTTGACATCTTGGCTTTGGCCCTGCCGAACTGCAAAGCTCAGATGAACTGAAGCAACACCTCGCGCGGCTGCTTCGCATGCCAGACTCCTCCTTTCAGCTTCTCGGAGACCATCCCAGGGCTTCGTTGAACACTTGCGTGAGACACCTCCCAGGCACGCATGTAAACGCTCCTCAGGCTCCTCTTCCAGAACCAACCGCTGGAGGTTGGTCGTTTTTTTCTTGCCGGTTGTGTCGGCACGTGTCGCCATGGCTGGTTGAGGATGACGCGGGACTCGACGGTTACGGCCAAGGGACGCGGCTCGCTCTCTTGCGTCACCCGGCTACGAGCATGCACGTGTTCTGAAAGCTTCCGAGCACGGCGCAGCATTGGTAGCTTTTGTGGCATTTTGGCCAGCGGTCAGGTGTTGCTCTCTTCACGCAGGAGGAGTTTGGAGAGGCACTCGCAGGAAGCCCGGTTGGTCAGCGGGTTGGGGCGAAGTGGGTCGCTTTCGAGCATGCTCCTTCCAAGAAGTCGGACCTGCAAGCGGAGCTTGGCCTGGCCTTCTGTGACCCCGCCTTCCTTCCGATAGGTGTGGGGGTGACATCGTGCTCATGTCGGCTCTTATTTCTCGCATGCCGGAGGCCGCATTGCGATTGCAGCCGTCGATCCTGAGAAATGGGCGGCAATGCTGGAGTTCTTAGGCCTTTACCTTTGCGTGCTGAGCAAAGTCAATTCAAATTCCGGACCTCTTCCGAAGCTGCAAGCAGGCGAGGATGATCTAGAAACGCCGAGCGATGGCCAGGCCACCTGACAGAAAGCATACACATGTCAGACGATAACCTGACTAGTTTGGTGTAGAGTTGAGTCGCCGCTCTCACAGGGTCTTGGAGCTTTCAAGGTCGTGGCAGTCCTTCCGCGGAATGCCTCTCGGCACAAGCAGCCACAAGCATCTGTGCAAGCCAGCAGGGATGCTTCCTGGGTTTCCAGCTTTTTCTCTGCTTCCAGGACTTCAATGCACTAGTCAGCCGCGGCCCAATGAACTTCCTCTTCCACTCGGCCGACGTTCCACGAGCTCTTCCGGAACCAAACCCGGCAAGCGTGGAGGTCCGGCCGGTCCCGTGGCATTGCCTTGCGGAGCCCTGAACACTGCCTGGCGCTGCTGTTTGCAGGATACCGTCCCAGACTCTGACGGCGCAGAAACTGAGACTCCCAAAGTGCCTGCTTTCTCTTTCACCCAAAAGCCACGGCCAAAGCCGAAGGCAACTGGTTAGTTCCAAGCCGGAAAAAGCAAAAGCACACTGAGCCTTGACGGTCTTGAGGCCGACTCATGCTTATGAGGTTCTGCTTATCTTAAACCCCCAGAATCTCCAGAACTGATTGCAAGCACGAACTGCATCGTTTACTTGTGTGATTGTGTCTCCGTGGTCGGAAGCTAACTGCTAGGCGGTGTCCAAAGTTTCTCAGACTTCCGAGACGACTGCGGCCACGATGTCTGAGGAGGCTATGCAGAAAGGAACACGGAGTTGAGATGAGAGTGAAGACTGTGTGAGGTCTCGGAGCTTCGCGCGGGCATGTCGGCCATGAGGGGCGAGTGGGAGAGGACAGTCCAGGAGAAGCTTCAGACGCTGGACCAGGTGCCGAATGCCGAAGAGCATTGTTTTGTTGATTTCCCCCGAGCATTTTGGCCCGCCATGTGCGAGGCCTTTGCAGAGCGCTTCGCAGCGCTCGAGTCGCGAATGTCTGCGTGCCTGGAAGCCTCCGAGCAAGCAGCGAAGGAGAAAGAGGAGCGAAAGCCGTCGCAATGCGACACTCGAGAGCTCGGACGGGCCTTTTTTGGAGCCTACTGCTCAGGAGAGTCAAGCCGCCGCCCGGCAAGCAGAGACTCTCCAGCAGGCCTCTGTTTTCCCTGAAGAGTCCGTGAACTACTACCTGTCTGCGGTCTGCATATCGTCCAGTGAACATGCTCGAAAGTCTTGAGACATCTTAGCCGGATCCGGGCTCGATTCGATCACTGGAGCGGGTGTTTGGTGGGCTTTGGGTCGAAGGCCTTGCAGAGAGCCCGCGGCTTCGAGGAGGAGCTCCGTGCGGAGCTCCAGCGCCTGGACGAGGCGGCGCGGGTGGTGACGCCCCAAGCGCCGTGTTTGGGCGTGCCGGCGGTTGCGAGGGAACCCCCAGCGGCCTTAACCGTTTCCGCCCAGGCGGCCCAGGCAGCCCAAGCGGAGAGACAGCAGCACGCGGAGATCGCGCAGCCCTGGAAGGCTAGCGAAGAGCGCCAGGCCAGGCCGGTGAATTCCTGGCAGCCTCGTCTTGGAACAAGCGCGTCTCTCTCTCCGTCTCGCTCTGGGCATTTTTTTCTCTGAGAGACGGAGGACTCCCTGCTGGCGCAGCAGAGCGCGGAGCTGGCGGCGACTCTGGAGCGTCTCGTCGGAGTGGAGGCACTCGGAGAGCACACGCAGAGCATCAAAGAGCCATGGCACCACGGCTGTTGAGTGAAGCTGAGAGGCCCTGGTGGCAGAGATGCGCTCCAAGGAGGGTTCTGGAGCTGCGGATCGGAAAGGAGCCTTTTGAACTCGCACAGGAGGATCGCGAGGCGAAGTTGGAGGAGCGACTGACCACCAGCCGGCCACCTCAACTTGGCAAACTTGGCCTGCAACCGTTCTCCGACCGCAGCCAAGGAGTTGAAGCCGTCGAGGCCTTGTTGTCTGGCAGCAGGCCCGGTGGCGAGTGGCTGTGACATTCAGACTCAGTGCTCATGTGCAGGAGCGGCGAGCAGGCTGTTCAGGCGCTTGCGATGCTCTGGCAGTCGTTTTGTGCTCAGCGAAGCATCCTACGACCTGACCAGCACCCGGCTAGGCATCGGGATGAAATAGCTCCCAGCTGCAAAGCAGAGTGTGTCAGTTGCAGTCTTTCCAAGGAACCCCTTTAGTTGCAGAGGGATGAAGCCGATTTGCATCCGGATGCATGAGGGTCCTGCCCGTAGGAGCCAGCAGCTAGCAAGGCACAAAGAAGCCCCCACCGCTTCTCGCCGCGACGATCAAGACTCTTCAGTGCTTGAAGGAGCAGCTGATGACCTTGGAACGAAGACTGGAGGAGAGGACGTAGGACGCTTGCTCCCAGCCGGTGCGGTCAGACGCTGTCAGGAGCGCCACCAGCAGTCTGTGAAGGAGCTGCAGAAACTCGAAGGCGAGTGCAAAGAGGAGCCGGCAGCCTAGACTCGGCCTAGACGGCCCCGGAGAGCTCAGAGTGGAGCTTGCTTTGATGTGTTCGCATCTCAGGCTGGCCTTCGCCACCTGCAGCTGGGCTCGAGTCGTCAATTGGCAGGCCGAGGCATCGAGGGCTGAATGCCTGAGAACTTGATATGACATATATGACTTCAGGACTGCTAGGCTGGGCTTTGTCAGTTGCAAATGGAAGGTTGACCTTGCGAAGTTGCAGAAGGACGGCAAGCTGGACATTGCCAGTCCCAGCTTCTCTGCTGCCGGGCTACAGAAGTTGCAGCTTCACCTGCGTCTTCAGGCACACCCATGCCATCTGCCATGGGCTGTGGTGAACGCGGTAAGCGCACATCTGCTCCGCTTCTGCCGCAAATGGAAGGGCTCAAGTCTGAATTTGTCTAGACATGCGCGATGCATCCAGTCCTCTCGCCACTCCGACTCCAGCAGGTCTTTCCGTGGCCAAGCGGTGTCCAAGTTAGACCGGACGCCGGAACTGTCCAGAAGACTGAGAGATCCACTAGAATCACTAGAACTTCGGCTGAAGAGGAAAGGCTCCATGTCTTTACTTTTGGCCTCCTCCGACTCGCCTAAATCCTGAGATGGACTCTCCGAGGAATCTTTATCGAAGCTGGTGGACTTGGTGCACTCAAGAACAGCTCGCACTCATGGAAGCATTGTTGGCAGGCAGTTCACCAAGGACTGAGGATCTCGCAGCCTTCGTGAGTCTCCTGACACATCCAGAATTTGTCAAGAGCATCCACGAGCGGAACGGAATCCGATGCTTCGCCCAACAGCAGCTCATCCCCCCCCCCCCCTGATCACTTGTCGCGGCCCCTTGCAGAACCAGAGGCCAGCACTGTTCCCGCCCAACACCCCGCTGCTTTGAACTGAAAGTTTTGAGGGACCAACAGGTAATCAGCCTCCCTGAACACGCATGAGTTCGAGAAAGCAGCCACAGTCAACGCAGTCAGATCGCTTGCCGCCAGAGGACTTTGACTCACAAGGAACTTCGGCGGTTCGGCGATTCGATGTCTGCGCATAGTGCTCGGGGAGATTGGCAGCTGGTTTTGAGTTTGCATCCTGGTTGATACACGTGTGATCGGGGATTCGAAGGTTTGGCTGCCAACAACAGTAGGGGACAAGCTTGGCTTTCTGGAAGGCTCTGCAAGGGTTCTGCCTCTGAGGCTCCAGCAGATGCGCGATTTTGCTCAACAGCCGGACGTCCTCTCGCACAACCACCTCTTAAATGCTTGCTCGAGACGTCGGCAGTGGCAGTTCGCCGTCGACATACTGGACGACATGGAGACGTGACCAAGAATTGGCAGCCTTTATCAGCGTGTAGCATTTGGGCTTGGGGCGTTGTTAAACGGAAAACGCCACTGCGGAGGTGTCGGCCAAGTGCTTCGACTTGATCAGCTTCGGCACCTCCATTGCCGCCTGTGCGAAGTCTGGGCAGTGGCAAGCAGCAATGTGCCTTCTGCAGTGGATGAGCGACAGGCAGTGCCTGGGCGGTGCTAGTATCAACATACTTTTGTTGAAGGCGGTACGGGTTGAAACATCCAGAGCCGTATCCGGGTCCCAATTTGTACCCTCATGCTCCAAAAATGGTAAGGTTGAGGCCGAACACCATCAGCTGCAATTCAGCATTAAGCGCATGTGGTGCAAGCGGGAATTGGCAGGTTGCCCTACACGTGCTCGCCGGCATGGATGCCGCAAGCGCTTCTCCAGACCAAATTAGCTGCAATGCAGCTCTGAATGCATGCCGGGGGGCCGGCACTTGGGTACCAGCCTTGGGTTTGCTGGAACTTATGCCTGAGTTGCAGCTGGCCCCAGATGAGATTTCTTTCAACTGTGCCATCAGCACATGCGAGAAGTCGGCGAAGTGGTGGATTGCATTGGACCTGCTTTCTGTCATGCAGTCTCGGGAGCTCCAGCTTGGCCTTATTGCAATTAGCTCTGCCATGAGCGCGTGTCGGGCCAGCGGCCGATGGCAGGATGCAACTCGCTTGTCTGAAGTCATGTCAGCGAGCTCTGTCCAAGCAGACTTGATCAGCATGACGACGCTTATCGGGGCGTGTGACAATGGGGGCAATTGGCCAATTGCTCTCCACATATTTCACGAATACGACCCGCCCGAATCCGACACGGCTTTTACAAGTGCTGCCATAAAGGCATGTTCTACTCGAGGTAGGTGGCTCGAGTCTTTCGAGCTGTTCCACCGCATGGCGGAAGCCCGCCGACAACCCGATCTGCTCTGCTACACCATACTTGTGCATGCATGTGGAAAGGGCAGCCAAATTGTCCTTGCATCCGATCTGCTGCATGACATGCCGAACCACTTCTTGATTCCAGATGCTGCAATCTATAACTCAGTGATCAATGCTTGTGTGGGACACAGTTGGGAGCGAGCGTGCGCTTTCTTCAACGAGATGCAGGGCACCTGCAAGCCGAACTCGGTGACGTGCGCGAGCGTGCTTGCAGCAGTGCAGAAGGAGGGGCAGTGGCAGATGGCAGTCCAGATTCTGCAGAAGATGATGAAGCTCAGAATCGCAGCGGATGCGGAGCCGCTTCGCTCAAGATTTGTGTTACATGGTGTTACTGCAGGCTGGGATGCCTCCCTCTCATGCGTTTGCCAAGGTCTTACAAGGGTTTGATTGCTTCTCTTGTGACTTGGCCCAGACAGGCAAGTGCAGGCAAGTGCATGAAGATGCAACGGAAAGAGAAGTAGAGAACGCAGAAGTCCAAGGATCCCTCCGATTGGCAGCTGGCAGTGCAGATGATCTCACAGGCTTCAGACGCTGAATCGCTGGATGTTGATGTAGCTGATGCCGCACTTCACGCGACTTGACTCGCAACAAAAACTTCACAGGCGCTGTGACAATGCAGGAGTGCTTGTGCGCTCATCAGGTGTTCTGCCGAAGCGGCATGTGGCCTGCAGCCCTCAGCTTGGTCAACGCTTTCAAGGCCACCGGCGAGGATGGCTTGCATCTTGCTGAAGAGAGGTGCGGTTCATTGCAGGCCAGCTCTTTGGAAGCGGATGGACTGGCCAAGCACGTGAGTGCTGCTCTTGAGCGAGTGAGCTGGCAAGCAGCCCTGGCCTGGCTGCGACACATGGGGGCGACCACCCTGCGGGCCCATGTGGCCCCCAGGATGCACGAAGACGCCTGCACATGGCCAGAAACCGCACGGCTTGAGGACTCTTAGGTGCAGCTAGGAAGCCTAGCCTAGAACGTCCCAAGGCAGAGTACACTTCTGCCATTGCCGCCTGCAAGCCCAGCGGCTCCTGGGAAGTTGCTTTGACCCTGTTGCTGGAGATGATGTGCTGCAAGCAGCCGGGCTGCAAACGTGGCCTGCTTCACCACATCTGCACTTGCTGTGGTGCTGCGTCACCGGCCAAGGATTAGTCCAAAGGTCACGGCGTTGAATGAAGTCATCCATGCCGCTGACAAGGCAGGAGAGTAAGTTTAGTTGTTGGCGGATCCCAGTCCAGAGGCTAAGCCTCATGCCAGGCCGGAGAGTGGAGGCTGGCAATAAGCTTGCTCTTTGTGACGATGCCCGAGATGAGCGTTTCCCCCAACACCGTCTGGATCTCGTTTGAGATGTCCAGTGGCAGGTCGAAAAGATGTCTAATTCGAAATAACTTGCACCAAGGCCAGCTACAACTCCGCCATCAGCGCATGCGAGGTAGCAAAGGAATGGCAGCAGGCATTTGCAACCCTGGTGTCAATGAAGATCCAAGCATTGACGCCTGATGAGATATCTTTTAATTCTGCCATCAGTGCAGCTGAGAAAGCCGGCCGATGGGAGCATGCAATACAACTCTTGCTGAAGATGTCGGCGGAAGCCACTGCTCCGAGCACCATATCCTACAATGCTGCAATCAGTGCATGTGCCAAACCTGGGGAATGGGAGGCCGCTCTTGCCCTTGCAGCTGTGATGGACGAGACGGGGGTGACCTGTGATGAGATCACTTTCAACTGTTTGTCAAATGCATGTGAAAAGGCTGGTCGTTGGCAGCTGGCTTTGGATTTGTTGCAGAAGCAGAGCCCCACTAAAGTGGGGTCGCTCGTACAGCAGATATGTAGTTCAGGGGCCTTCCCGTTGGATTCAACGTTGACGCCGGCAGAGGCCTCGCAGGTTGTCTGGCGCTTGGCGAAGCTTTCGAGGCTCGGAGCCTCAGTGGCTTCGCTGGCCGAGCCAGCTTCGCAAGTGGTGGTCTCTGTGGGAATTGAGGCTTTCGAGCTTCAGGAGTTAGGCGCGGTGATGTGGTCCCTTGCCCGCCTCGGTGTGTCGGGCGCACTCATGCCGCAGCTGAGCAGGGCAGCTTTTCAAAAGATGGATGCAGGAGGAGCAAGGGGTCTGAATATTCGCACCATGGCCAATCTGGCATGGGCGTTGTCTATGCCCGACACCGACGTTGCTGGAACGTTGGGGCAGATTCAAAACGAACTTGCTCGTCGCTCCGTTCGCTTGGCGCAATCCGTTTCTCGGGCATCATGGACAGAGTTTGTGACAGCCGCTTTAGCCATCCTTTATGCGGCCCATTTTGCGGGGCAGCTTCTCCCCAACGCTGCCCAAACAGTGCGGTCGGCACTTGTCAGCCAGGGCAGTCGCCTTGACAAAGCGCGCGTGCAGGCACTGGCTGGCCGCCCGGGCCTGGGCGAGTGGGAGGCTGGCGAGCCATGGCAGCCATGGGCCCAAGAACTGCCAGGCGCCCTTCTGGTGCGGAAGCCGGCCCACTGGCAAGTGGATGAGCGGGACGCCATCTACGATGTCGAACAATTCTCCGATAATCGTGGGCTGCTCTCCTTCTTCGTGTGGTCCTTAAGGCCTGGCCGTCAGTACCCGATCCTTCGCGACACAACCCACCAGCGAGGGTTTTTGCATCGCTTGGATGTGCCGAGCTCGGGCTTGATCCTGGTGGCGACTTCGTTTGAACGCTTCTACGATCTCAAGTTCCAGTTGGTCACGGGACTTCTGACACGTGCCTACGTGATCTTATGCCATGGGTTGCTGAACCCTTCTCGAGCTGGAGTCCGCTCGCCAATCAACTGGTTCTCCTTCGGCCCAGACTCTAACAGAGCAAGCTTGGTCCAAGACAGCGGGCGACCGTCTCAGACCTACATGAGATTGCTAGCTCGAGCATTTCGGGGTCAGAGAGCCCTGAGCCTCGTTCATGTGAAGATCATGACTGGGCGCAGACACCAGATTCGGGTTCACACCTCTTATGTCGGGCACCCCACTCTGGCGGATGGAAAGTATTCCTCCACGGGCACCTACATGGAGGACCTCGTGTGGTGCCTTGGCGCAAACCAAGGCACCAGCCACTGAAGTTAGATAAAGGCACGCGAGCGTCAGGGCCCGAAGGGATCTGCCCAGGTGTCCCCGAAACTTTCTGCACCGGCACGAGCTGGTCTTCGAAGTCTCCGGCCGTGCGTCGGAAGCATTTGAGGACCCAGTTTGCTAAACTCCCCAGTCGGCCCGGAGGTAATGAGCCACAGCTGCCACGGAATGTTTGCCTTGTTGAGGACCTGCCACCGGACTTGGCAGAAGCGCTCCGCAAACTCGATCTTGAGGTGGTTCCGAGCAGCAGCGTGACAACCTCCGCAGAGACGAGGGGCCTCAAGTGTACAGACGTGTTGAAAACCGCAGAGGATCTGCTTTATCGTGGACGGGACAACATGAAAAGTCCGCCTCGCCTGCCGCGGATCAGCATGAATGAGATCGGGCGGATCCTGAAAAGCTTTAAGAGCCGTTGCTTTAACAAACAATCGCTGTTGGAATCCTTTGCAGGGCCGCGAGTCACGTTGGACCGTCGGAGTCTTCCTCCAGGCTCCCAGGGGCCAGGCCGGCGCGCTACGACTCTTAGGCTTAGGCTTTGGCTTGTAATGCGCATATGACTCATATCTGTTTCATCCGAGCGTCCTCAGCATCTTGTGCTTGAGCAGGTATCCTTTCGTCTACATCTTGGCGCCAAGACGATGCTAGGGGCTTTCCGACTCGCCATGTCTGTGCTTTCCCCTCCTAGATTCCTAGATTCTCCCGCATCGCGAGCCCGAAGGAAGCGCTTGTACCGACACCTCGCTGGCAAAGATGTCGAACCTACCTGCATGGCGTTCGAAGGGTCTCCCTGCGTCGTGGATCTCTTGACAAACCCTGCCACGCGCAATGAAAGCTGGAACGTTGTCAGCACAGACAGGACTACGACGGCAGAGCTTGCTATTCCTTCACACGGACCGAACATGTTTCAAAAATAGAGGATCCATCATTTGTTTTGAAGGTTTGCACGCACCGGTGCCGTTTGGAGACCTGAACTTCCACACTGAACACAAGTCGAGATTTCAAAGATCCTCCGCACGAAAATGAGGAAGACTCTCTCATCTCAGATCTCTGTTTACCTTACGTTTTCTCAGAGCTCGACATGAACTCTGCTCCTCCATTGCCTCCTTTCCGGCTATTCCTCGCATAATTCGCTTACGTCGCGGCTTCTTCTCAAGACTCCGTGCATGGTTCATAGATGAGAGCCCTGTCCGGCTTGCTTGCCGACTGAACAGCGATTGAGGAGTGCCAAGAAGGCATCCGATGCTGGGCACCAGCTCCGAAGCGAATCTTGCCGTTTAAACAGACGGACAACCAAGCAGACGCCTGTCATTTGTTTGGTTTTATGCAGGGGCATGCCTCGCAAAGATATGGCAAAGACGCCACCAGTTGATACCCTCCAGTTGATGGGTGGTCCTCGTTTTGCTGTGTGCTACACTACAACTTGCACCGCGATGTACTCGGCAAGGGAAGAGCCAAGCATTGAACTGATGAGCACTGCAACTGGGGAGACTTCAAGCTTGCAGCATTCAACCTGATTATGCAAGCTTGGTGGGACGGATCATTCACGAAAGATGTATTGACTGGTTGACCGGTTGCCGATTCTTGGCTCCAGGCATCAGAGCTTTCTAAGTTCTCAGGTCTTTCGCGGCAGAGTTCGACGAAGCTCCCGAGTGGGGATCGCAGCGACTGGCGGTTGGGATCTCAAGTCTTGGTTTCAAAAGATTTAGAATCTGTAGAAAGGACCAACAGACCGCAGGTTCTGGACAGTATCGACAGGACGATGAACGTTCTGGCCTCTGCTTCTTTCACTGCGTTATTTGGGTGTCCGTCACATTGCGTCAACACGACTGCTTGAACCCCAAGCACATTGCGCGGCAAACCCGCCGCCAGAAGCTACCGCGCCGTCTTTCACGTGTGCCTACATGTGCATGTGAGCTTACGTTGCAAGGTATATCTGGAAGTGCATGTGCAGACGTTTTCCCCGATTTGGACAGCTCAGGTGCGCCTGGAGATTCTGGATATCACCGCGCCATTGACAAAGGCCACGGCACGTGATGACGATGGTGTGGATGTGGTTGCACAGAAAACATGTTCTCCATCGCGAGAGCGGGTAGGTTGATTACCCTCCATGCTTGACAGCGTCGGTCAAGTTTGCGGATGCGGTGCAGGCAGCAGTTCCAGCGTCATGGATCTTCTGAAGTTGCCCGAACACGATCAAATCAGCCTGGAAGCTGAAAGCCGCAGCAAGGCAGCAGCGCGAGAAGCTACAGCAGTTCGCTCGTTGATGGCCTTGGCACTTAGCGGTGCTCGGTCAAGCTGGCCAACAATCCACATGTACTGGACACGCGCATGAGATACAGTTTCCAGAACACGGCATAAGGTCAAACGAATCGAATGGCGAGTCGGTCGCATCTCCGAGCGAGTAGCTGCGGCGTGGGTTTCCGAGACAGTGACAGACCCGTGCAGGCTTTTGCAGACATGCCTCCCAAACGAGGCGAGCTGCAGCCAACGAGCTCGGCGCAGAGGAGGCCAGGACTGACGCCTCCCGGTCCCCCCCTGCTTTGTGCCACGATGCAACGCTGAAGCCGTCGTCTTTCGCGAAGGCCTGGGAGCCCATCGTCTCCCCTCCCTTCGCAGCAGGTGGTTTCGAAGGGCTCCAGCCGATCGCCAAGAGCTGTCCAAGCAGGATGTGTTGGAGAAATCCCCTCAATTTGTCAGGTTACATCTGTATCCGCTCGGCTACAGAGCCAAGGGTGAGGACAGGACTTGCAAAATTTCTACCGTCAAACAAAAGTCACTGGTGCCCCTCTTGTCAGGAAACCTGCGGCTTCTTCCTGCTCTGTCCGAAAGGACCAGAAACTGATGCAAGTTTAGTGGCATGAAAGGTTGAGCTGACTCAATAATAATGAGAAGTAGACACGGAGAGAGGGGCAGATTCTTCCTCATGGGTAGGGCCAGTAGGACCCGTAAGAAGAATAGAGAGAGAGATAAAGAGAGATCGAGGCGTTGGTCCAGGAACCTGGACTCACCCCCGGCGGAAGGAAGGAAGAGGGACGTCCGGGACCGCCGTCGCCAATCTACTTTGAAGCCTTGCGAAACCGCAACTTGAGGGAGCTCCAAGCTGCAGTAGCATGCATCTTGTGGCTTGGTGGTGTTGTTGCAACTACAAGGTTCGCGTGCCATTGCCGCCCGTGGTGCGAGAGGCACTTCTAGGAATGTTCACATGCTGAAAACAATGGCAGGGGCGGTAGGTTCATAGCTCAGGGATTTTGAGGGCTAGAACAGTGGTGCTAAGAACTCGGAAGTAGTTTTGGCCACGCAGCGACAACCACATCACCGTCACAATCGTTAGCCTCATCATCATCATCACCACCATCATCATCGTCATATTTAATCATCGCCATCATCATTATCATCACTGTCACATTGACACCACTATCAGCGTCACTGTTGAATCTTGCAAACTTGTTCACCATCGTTTATTGCCGATCAGCGCCATACAATTCTCGTCCGCTTTGCCACTGCACTGTCCCAAGCCAGTGTGCCTTCGAAAAGTTTAAGAGTCCCAGGCTTGAGTGGGCCCTGTCGAGAAGCCGCGACTGTCGAGAAGCCGCGAAGACGACGTTCATTATGTATATACGCACACGTAGAGTTAAGGCAGCGAAGGTTCTCGGAGGTCGAGAGTAGGGACTGCAGAGCCAGTACACTTGAGGCAAGTCATCATCAGAAACAGAACGTCAGAGCAGGAGCATGGCAGCAACATGAGGCAAGCCGACTCCTCGAAAGACCGCAACACCGGAAAACGGCCAGCCGCTGAAACAAGGAAAACGCAGAATTTCCAACTTCCCGGAAAAGCAGAGAACATCTGAAGACCTCGTCCAAACCGAGTCCAACAGCTGAAAAGTGAAGAAAAAGCCACGGGCGTGTACGGCACGCCCTCCAACTACAACATCTGGCTTGCCGTGAGACTGAGTGCAGGGAATTTGTGGTGGGCCGTAGGTGGCACCGGGATGATTCCGGGAAGTGGGCTACGGGCTGCATCATGAAGTGCGCAGCTGTCTTCCACAGTAAGGAGCTTGCAGTGATGCCCCAAAACTACTCACTCAGTAGCACCATGAGGGGGCGGGCTTATGGCAGCCCCTATGCCCAACAGAAAGAGGGAGCTTGCCGAGAGCTCTGGGGAGCAGCACGATTTCATTACTCTCCGTTTTTGGGCTGGCCCTGAACCCTTAGCCCCTCAAATGGAAAGCAATAAGCCTGAGACTTGATGAAGCAGAAACTAATACGAACAGCATCGGACCGATGAGGGTGCTCCATCACCAGAATCAGAAAGAAGAGAGACATGTGTGCAAGTTGCACCATCCCTGAACGTTTTGTTTGCGTTTACGGACCCTGCTGCCTTGAACCTCGGCTGGTGCAACTTGGTGTCCCGAACCCCTTATCTGAACAGGAATGTACGTGAAGTGCAAGGCCTTCGTGGGCGATGCAGCGTGAGACTCAGGGAAGCCTTGCGCGGACCACTGGCGTGCGCTGAAGATCTTTCCCATGCTGTCCGCAGGTGAGGAATTGGGACCACCACTATGCAGACAGAGAGCCCTACGGTGCGGCAGATGGTGTTGTGTGCAGTTGGGGTGATGGCTTCGTCATGTCCCCAGGCCGAGGGAATTTCTGCCGATTGCAGGACAAGGCGAAGTCAGCCGGTCCCGGGGTTTCACGCGAGTCGAAGAGAACAGCACCGTGCTCGTCAGGTCGAGGCGGATGACAGCGTCCTCTGCGGGGTTGAGTTGCAGGAGATTCGCATGGAGCACACCACGCAGGTAAAGTAGCCTCGCTTTGGTGGATTTTATTCTGAAAGCTGTCGTTTCCTCAAGCCAGGTACGGGGTGGTCCATTTGGCAGTATCGCAGATCAAATGCGCCAAAGCTTCACTAGATGCAACGAAGTCTCCGGAGCCTCAAGCAGCTTTGACTGCAGGAAAGTCGTCAACCATCCGTCGGTGGGAAGCCGTGGTCTCGGAATGTCTCGGAGCAGGTCGAAGAGGGGGATGTGGCCTTGGCTCGAGGCATGGAGCTCGTCCGCGAGCTCAAAGATGCGGCCTATGGCAAGGCCCAGATACGAAGCTCAGCTTGCGCTTGCTGCCGTGGATTCGTGATAGGACCCTGCGAAGCCCCGGGCGCGAAGCCGCTTTGGACCGAGTGTGGCAGTGTCGCAGCTGTCTCTGAACACTTCGAGCATCGATGAGACATCGATGAATATCGAAAAGGTAAGACGCCTCACCAATACACGCACCTGGCACCGGCCATGGACGAGAGGACTCGACGACTCGACTCTTAGAAGAGAGGTTTTGCAAGTCAATCCTCGCAGCAAGTCGTGTTCTGTCGGCAGGCCGGCAGAGCGACCCATGGTACCCCTGCCAGGCAGGGTGAGTGGAGGTCTCGCCACGCTTGCGGACGACTCTGTGCTTGAAGGTATGGCAGCGTCAAAGTCTGTCCCACTTCTCCTGCCGCACGTGGCCTCGGGGTCACCGCAAAAGGCTCACCTGGAGCAGCAGCCACAGAGACGAAGGGAGGAGAGAAAGGGGCTCTGCCAATTCACATGCCTTTGCTGCTCAGGTCAATGGCAGGTTTGCCGATATCCCCTTCGAAATATCCAGAGAAATCCAGTTGGCGATAGACGCCAGAAGTGCGACAGGCGCCCCTTTGGGGTGAGAGCCCGAATTGCCTCGTCCGCCTCCACATCGACTAGCGACCAAAGAAAAGCCGCGAACGCCTACAGAGCCTACAGTAGCACATCACTTGATGCCGTTTGTCTGAGCTGAGCTGGGTAGTTTCACACAGTGTCACCCTCCACTCCTGGCGGGCTTGTTGCAGAGAACTGCCAAAAATCCTGGCTGTCTTTGTCTTCTTTGTCCCCGTCTGCCCAGCTTCTCGGCTGTACCGACGGTACAGCACGAGTTCGAATTCGCCGAGATTTGACTATGCGGCTCAGGTTGGTAAAGCCCGCGTGTCTGTCAGAGTGTATTTGTGCATGGGCAAGGAGATGTCGGGAACTCCCGGCGCAGTCCAGCACCGTGCCTTCTCTCGCAGCTGATCTTTCGGTTCCCAGCAGCTAGCACATTGAGCCCAGGAAAGGCAAGCCCGTCGTGTTTGTTCCGTGGCATGGCTCAGTTGTCAGGCAATGGGTACTGTAGCTCGTCAGGAGCCTGCGGTCTGAACATGTTGGTGGTGTGTTCGATGATGTTCGATGCAGCAATACTTGGCTCAAGACCCGGTGGTCAACCCGAAGCCTCACCGAGGCGAGGTTGGAACCGCATTGCGGGTCACTGGGGAGCGAAGCGGCGCCTGTCCTGAGGTGATGCATCCTCAAGCTGCGCAAGAAGGCGGTTGCGGGGGAAGATGGTGACAGTGCCCAGTGCCGTGTCGGCTCATGCTCAATGTTCACCTTCCCAGGATGACATCCGACAAGACCTTGATTTGTGCCTGAGCTGCTTTTGGAGCTTCGGGATTCAAAGCCAACCCTGCGGCAGCCGAGGCAAGTTCTGGCTTAAGAACCGGTGTCAGCGTGGCGATTGCAAGTATGCACACGGTGAGGAGCTGCAACCTCAAAGGCATACATACAGCATATGTGATTTCGAAGCTGAAGTAAGATGGCAGGAAGAAAAGAGACTAGCGTGCAAAGCGCTGTTATGCCAATTTCATGCAAGTGGGTGCCGCGCCTGCACTATCACACGTGCAGTGTTCGCTGTGTGCTGGCGCAACGCCCATCACAGGCGTGCCACTGTCGCCACGTCACTTTTCATATGTGTTCATGACATGACCCTGGCGCATGAAACATAAGGTACTGCCGCTTGGGGCAAGACTGCTTATACAGGCGCAACAGACCCGGATTGCCAGAAGACTCGTGCATCCTGTTGCTGGGATGAGGCACACCGTGGAAGAGGAGGCTGCTGGGGATCCCAATTGCAGCGGTGATGCAGCCCAGATGCAGGGAGCTATTCTGGTTAACATGTCCAGAAAGACTTGCCGAGTCAACAATCGTTGAACAGTGAAACAGACTGCGAAATCAGCTGAGGAAAAAGAGCTTGGGAGCCACTTCGAAGCACTCTGAAAGATGGCTGTGTTTTCGTTTTGTTCTTGCGTGCAAACTCATACTCTCCCTCTGAGGCGGCTGCGAGGCCACAGAAGAGCGAAATGTTCAGCCCATCAGCGTGGTTGGGAAAGACAGCGCGCTGACAGGGGAAGAGCGCCGCTTCCACGACCGCCTCAGAAGCTGCCGCTGCGCCCAGCATGTAGTGCCGTGAGCAAGGTGGACTCGCTCAGTGCTTCCATGTCCCAAGGACACGCCATCGTTGGGACCAGCAGCTCCACCTCTCGACTACAGCAATTACAAGCGTGTGCCTGGGTGGCACCAGGACGCAGACGAGCATGCAGAGGCAAGAAGCATGTCATTTCAGGACTGGCAGCTCGGAAGGTATGACAAGACCCAGCCATGCCTCTCGGCAGCATGTACAGGCTTGGTTTCTGCTGGCACAGCGCTCAGCTGAGGCAAGTTCTGGCAGGAAGGCCGTTGCCAGCGTGGCCAGGGGTGCAGGTATGCACACGGAGATGAAGAGCTTCGGCAAGCTTGCGCCTGGTCCGCCGGTGCTGGCAAGGTTGATGCAAATATACATAAGTGTATGGCTGCATACATAATATATATATATATATATATATATATGTATATAACACAAAAATAAATGAATATAGCCGTGGTGTACCTTTGAGTATCAACTGAAGGAGCTTTCTTATTTCAGCTCATGGTTGGAAAAGGCTCGGATACTAGTGTTCCCTTCGTCGAGATAGGCTGTGCAGGATATGTAGCGGAACGTAACGGAAGTCTTTGGCAGCCTTGCAAAGCTATCCAAAGCTTTAGGAAATGCAGGGGGTTTCTTGTTTTGTTATGAGGCTAAAGTGAGAAGACAAGAGCCACTTCATGTCTTCATGAACGAGGTAGCAGCTCTCTTGATTTCTTGCTGGTAGTATCGCAGAAAGGAGTCTTGGTTGTAACAGGAGTTGTCAGATTCCACATCGTGTCAAGAAACGAACAGTTGTTTCCAGTCGTGTTATAAACCGCCTTACTTGTGATCGAGTGCACCAAGTCGAGGGAGACCACTTCTTTTCCGAAACATCAAGATCTACTTTTATGATCTGTGCAGGTTGTAAGAGAACGTTAAGTTCTAGCCACTAATACGGGACTCAGGAGCTGTCTTGCGTTTCTGTGATGGAAGAGGATTTCTAATCAATGAAAGAAACTAACCCCAACTATGGTAAAAAAGCAAACGAACTTTCCTGGGTCTTTCTTAATTCTCTTCTCAAATGTTTCTTACAACCAGCGCGGACGCAGAACCAGATTCTGGTTTGGGTTTGGGGTGGTTACATATACCACAAACAAGCACAAGAAGTAGAGGTCAGTATATGTGAAGCGCAGAAACCAGCGTAAATACCGATCGTTTCTGGACCTCGGAGAAAGCATCTCGAGACAAAATACTGTAGAGGAACGGTTGTCAAGAAGGCTTCGCCGGGGAGGACGTGGTGGTGAGACATATATATATATATATATATATTCATATATATATATATATGTATATATATGAATATATATATATATATATATTTGTTTATTTATTTACTAAAGTATCTATCTACACACTCACATACACACACACACACACAACATGCATACGCATATGCACAAGTGTAGATCTGCAGAGTGTATTCTGGCTTGCTGTGCAGCTGCTCCGCCGAGGCGGAGCCATTCTGTGCAAGCACCTGCAACGTCGTGGGAGATGTCACCTCGGAGATGCTCTTTGTCTGCAAGCATTGCAAGACGGTTCCATCGGCTTCAAGGGCGAAGCCTGCGCACATGTGGAACATGTTCGGGTCGAGGCATGCTGGTTTTCCCACACTGAGCCCTTGTCGGATGGCCGCTTTGCCAAATGAGAGCACGAGACTGCGCTCTTGGCAGCACAAGATGTGTCTCGTCCGCCGCAGCAGGAGAGCCCGCTGCCGGTCGGAGTGGGCCATGCAGCAATTCAGCACCTTCAGGCTCTTCTCAGGACACGAGACTCTAAAGCAGCAGCTATCAAGATGTTTCAAAACTACAGATCACAAGTCTTTTGCCTTACATCAAAGAGCGCCAGGATCCTGAAAGTCCTCGTCGTTCAGGGCGTGTCTGCACCTCAGAGCTGGAAGAGCAATGGCAGGAGCGTCCTCTTTCTGTACAACCCGCAGTTCTATGAACATGAGGAGGGATCAAGACGTACTCGTGGGTATCAATAACAACTAGACCTGCCTCCCCACCGCGAAGACACTGTCCTGTGACAACCCAGCCAAGTTTGTAACACTTGGCACGGTTGTCCGTTAGTGTTGAGATCGTGCTTGTTGGCTTTGTAGGATGTGTATTTGCCGCTTAGCGTAAACTGATGCAATGTACTCGCTTGCTTGATCGCTGTTTTGATCCAGGTACTTGCCCTAAAGCGTCACCGCCCAGCACAATGCACCGCCATGGCGGGGTACACGTGGGCAATGCCCGTATAAGCTAATTTCATCCTAAGTTTAAGTTGAGCTATCCACGGCACCGACACGGATCCGCGTACCTATACTTGGCGAACGGCCTTCGTCAACCGTCGCCGCGCACCGCTGAAAGTCGCAACAGTAGACAACATCTCGCATGCTTGTTTATGCGGCGTCACACCGGTTTTTGCATTTGTGTGCTTTCTGCTGTTGTTGGTTGGGTGCGTTGTCGACAGCATCTACTTGGTAGTTTGCATGTGCCGTGGCATCGCGGTCCTACCTAAAGAGGCGTTTGATGGAGATATTGGGATTCGTGCAATACGTGCTTTCCGTTGTTGTTGTTGTTGCTGTTGTTGCTGCTGTTGCTGTTGTTGTTGTTGTTGTTGTTGTTGTTGCTGTTGTAGCCGCCACGGA